AAATTAACTATGTATCAACCATTACATTTCCTACCATAAGATCAATAAATTTACAGATTTTTGAAATGTACGTTGTGAAATATACATAAAAGGTACAAGGTACTTGTTCATAGGTAGGCTTGGTTGTCTTAAAATACCGCATATTTGAAAAACCTTAAGATTAACCTACAATTATGTCTTTTAAAGCAATTTCTCATTTCAAGAAATAGACATGTCTCTTCTCTCCAGGGAAATGTCTGAGTGTAGAAACTGGTATCATGCAATTTGGCTGATCTGACCAAGATAGGAACTCTTCAGCCTAACAGGTCTGCTTACAAAAATATAAATCCAGTTGACTCCATGTAATAATGAACTCTCTTCCCTTCCTCTTTTACAGCCTTTTAACTATTCAGTGATTTGTGGTAGCCGTGTCTTCCAGACACTGCGTGTGTGCTAAACATCTAAGAAGGAAATTAAGTTATAAAATAGTGTGCTGAATCTACTCAACTCTGTTCACTGCGGGAGCACAAAGTAAAAAACGCAGATGAGATGAAACTAACAGCATTTTACAGTTGGAAAGAGACTGAGATAGTAAAAACTGACTGGAATTAGAAATTACAAGTTCTTGGGCAAGTTCCGTTGATGATAATTTACTGGTTTGGTGGGGAAGTTATTCAACTTCGATTTGCTCTTAAGCCACATAGATACATCCGGGTGCATGTTCAAACATTTATTTGATGCCCACTACACATCTACAGGCTTGCCAGGTTGGAGAGAAGACTCTGTCCTGCCCTAAGGACTTGATGGCTCTCAACATTCTCTCAACTGTGGGAATCCCAAAGGTGGGGCTGCCCGGGCCAGCCACAGACCTCATCACCTGAGTCGGTCTCAACAGTTTTGTCCACATTGGAAAAGCCCCTCCAGGAAATTTTCATTGACCTCTATTCTCCCCCGACCCCCGCTCAAATCCCCACAGACACCTTTTGAGAACTGCTAGTCTAGAAGGATCTTACCAACTCAAAGGGCAGCTCTAAGGACAAAATAACGTATTACAAGAAAATGAAGACCTAATGAAAAAAAAAAAAACAAAAACAAAAAACAAAAGGCTGAAAAATGAAGCACGACCAAAGCAATGGGATGGTGCTATTTACATCACTTCTTCGCATAGACATTGCCAGAAAACTTTAGCACATGTTCCTAGAAAGAAAGAATGACCTAATACTTTGTCACTCTATAATCTGTAAAATCTGCATAAGCATTGTGTTTTCATGTAACTTTCAACAGCAATGTTAAGGGAGGACAGTACCACTTTCTCCACTTGTAGACAAGGAACTGGGGCCCAGAGAAGTTGAATACCTCACCTAATCTCATGCCTGGTGAGCGAGCTCAGAAACTAAAGATGAGTCTTCTGACTCCACAAGTCTGATTTCCACCACAAAGAAGAATCCTATTTTTAAAACTATTTTTCTTTTTAAGACTGAATGGTCCTGAAAACCTTCAAGGCAAATAAGTGAATCAAATTTTAAAATAAAATTATAAACTTTTCATTGGCAAGGCACAGTAATATGGCTGTTGACTGACATTCCTGGCAAATAGAAGTTATGTGGGGAGAGAGTTCTAAGTGCTTTTATATTCAATGTTTCAGAAGAAAAAAAATAAGCAACACAAATACATCCCATTAAGTAGAACACAAATAGGCCGGGCGCGGTGGCTCACGCCTGTGATCCTAGCACTCTGGGAGGCCGAGGCGGGCAGATTGCTCGAGGTCAGGAGTCAAAACCAGCCTGAGCAAGACCCTGTCTATAGTAAAAATAGAAAGAAATTAATTAGACAAAAATATGTATACAAAAAATTAGCCGGGCACGGTGGCACATGCCTGTAGTCCCAGCTACTCGGGAGGCTGAGGCAGGAGGATTGCTTGAGCCCAGGAGTTTGAGGTTGCTGTGAGCTAGGCTGACGCCACGGCACTCACTCTAGCCTGGGCAACAAAGAATCTGTCTCAAAAAAAAAAAAAAAAAAAAATAGAACACAAATAACATAATTTATACTTAAAAAATAATTTCCAGTCTCCATATACAGTTACCCCTATGCTATTATGGCAAGCTTTGGAGTGATGTACTCTAGAGCATAGAGCCTCGAGGCCAGGAACTCAGAGCTCAGGCTGCTGTTTGTCCTCCCCTCTGCCTTTAGAGCATGCCCTGTCCTGTCCTTGGTGCTGTGATTTCCTTGCAGTTCCCAGTTCCCCTCATCCCAGCTCCCTCTACCCACTGTGCCTGGAATTCTCTGCTCTTGCAATCTAAAGAGGAGCTTAGGGATAGTAAGGAAAATCAGAAAACAAACTTACTATCATTTAAATACACAGACATATAATACATCCATATGTATGTACATACGTACGCAGTCACATGTACACACAGACTAAGAGTGCCAAACAGCATCTTCTCAGTGCTTAGGTTACTTCCTTTATTAAGATCTAGTAGGCATGAAAAAGATTAACATATAGGGCACAATTTTTATGAACTCAAGAACTGATACGGTAAAATGGAAAGAATATATTACGAGATTGAGAATTAAGACTTTAGGCTGGGTCTAGATTTGGAGTCATGAGACTTTAGTATGAGTCTAAGTCTGGCCTCATGATTTGGAATAATTGGTTTAGGTCTGATCCCAAATGTCTTCATCTGGAAAGGGGGAATAAAAATAACACCCATATGCCATTATTTTGTGAAATGAGTGTTTCAAACTCTATAAAGTATTATTAAAAATAATCTCTTATTCAAAAAGCTCTGATACAAAGGTAGCCATATTTCTCACATTATCTATACACACACTCTCTCACATTCACGGGATAAAAGAGTGAACAAATACAAAATACAAAAAAAACATAAAGACAAATAGGTCTCTATTCTCACGAAGTTTAAATTTATAGCCTGTTTCATGCAGGTGCATGATAAAACTCTAATTCTCAAATAAATAGAGAATAAACGATATTACTAAAAGTCTCAAAAGGCATTTATCACGTTTCAATATCGACTAACTGATCAGTTTTCCAATGAAACATTTAGGTTTTTCCATATATATTTATACCTAAATTATAAAAACTATTCCTCAGGTACTACCATAGAAATTACATAAAACAAACAAAAATAAAAACGAAGGGAGAACCTCTATAAGTTTTTGCTGCAGAAGTAGAGAAGGGCAGATTCTGCAAATTGCTAAAATGTGGGTTTTGACGTGAAGGCTGACTCATGGCCTTCACTGTCCGCTCCCAAATGTCCTTCTCTACATTCCTTTATTTTTACACAGTACTCAGTTTATTCACTCATTAGTGAACTTAGGAAGGGGAGCTTTATATCAGGAAGGTGCCAGAAGTAAATTTCATCAATTTATCTCCTACTGAGCCAATCGCAGAACTAAGGAAAGACAAAAGGGGGCAGGGGATGAGAAGGGAAGCCTTAGAAAAATAAACTGACTTCAGTAGTGCACAAATTAACTCTTCTCACTTTTTGAAAATCAGTCTTCTGGTAACAGAACCCACGTTTTCCTAAGGAAAAACGCCCTTCCTCATCTTTGGTCTAGATGGTTCCCCTGTCCGACTCCAGCCAGAACCCGCGTATCAGACCACTGTGTCCCCAGCCTCAGTGACGGGAGCAGAGGTGGGCACGTGAGCCTAGTTCAGTCTGAGGAGATTCCACAAGGAGCTTCACAGGAACTGCTAGGCATAAAAAACCTCTGCTTAACGGAGGAGGCCTGGTCGCTGTCTCAGCACCATGAGAGAACATGCATGAGAACACAGTCAGAACAAAACCACGCAACGGACAGAGGGGGACTGGGTTCTAATGACCTGGCTTAAGACCGGGGCTTGCCTGAAACCAAGTCTACTCTAGGACTTTCTGTGGGTCAATGAATTTCCACTGGTGTTTAAGCCAGTTTGTTGAATCATCTGTCACTTGTAACCAAGAGCCTATATCCTGAGAAAGAATTACTGAGCTACTACTATAAATTCAATGCTGGGTTTGAGGACTACCAATATATACTTGTAAATAATGTAAGACCATGTAATATCAGTTAAATAATGCAAAATCCTGCCCAGAAGCAAAGAAATAATTACTTGGTTAGCTTTTTCATCCCACAACTAAAGATACTACCTGTGGTCTCTGGCAAAACAAAGAGGAAAGTTGAAGTTTCTGAAGCACCAATTCATCTCTCAGAAAATGTCCCCAAGAAACAAACCTTAGGGAGCATCTTAGTGAATACAAGTGTCAATTACACAATTATACTTTTACTAATAGCAGAAATTCCACACTTTCACCAGACATAGTTTTCAACATCAATAAAACCATCTGGCCTAAGTCTGATGTTAATTAGCTGCTTGTAAGTGAGGGTGGGGAAAGGCAAAAACAAACTAAAGACTATTTCCCCTTACGAAACACAATTACTTGGATAGAAGCACAAGCTAGCCTAAATACACATGGTGAATCTCAGTTACAATTTTCATTTAATGTACATGTTTGGAAACCTCCAGTAGGAAATAGCGGTAGGACTCAAATGAAGTAGCTGGTAAATAAAATTATTCTGTATGGAGCCCAATGTACACCACTGACTTGATTCTGATATAAATGTTTTCATTTCCCACAAACACGTATTTATAGACACGCAGAAAAGGAAGAGATGATGTTTTCTGGGCGTGCCTAGTAAAAAATGCTATTCCAGATCACACAAATTAAATTTACGATGGCACAAAACTGTTTTCCTAAGTCTCGCTAAAAACCAAACTGTAACAAACAAACAATAACAAAAAAGACTTTTTGACTGGTTGATCCTTGCTCACGATCTCAGATTTTGCTCATTTAATATCGCTTGGTGGAAAATCTCCCGATGGTTTTTAGATAAGGCACGCTTACTATTTATTGCTGACAGAGCACATCAAAAATATTTTTGAAGAATTCCCAATCATGCCATAGTATTATATGTGCAAGTAAACTACATGCCAGAAAAAAGTGTGCAAAAGGAACACCCACATGAACATTTACCTTCCACTGCTCTTTTGAAGAAAACTTTGCAGCTGCCACAGGTTACTACCCCATAATGACATCCTGAAGCCTCATCCCCACACACCAAACATATTTTGGAAGGTCTTGAGGATCCAGTAGAGACACTTCGTAAAGTAGAGCTGGGGAAAGAAATCAAAATTTAAATAACTACACTGTAATGGCACATTTAGTATGCTCTACAGCTTAGCTCAAAATTTGTCAATAATCACGGTTCCATAAATGAATTCAGTATGCAGCGGTCATATACTATGCGACTTAGCAAAGTGAACATAAAATCCTATCAGTGGAGTAACACTATCGAGATTGTTATATAGTAAAGCCTCTTCTTGGGACTGAGAAATGAGAAATAATTACTAGTAAACTTTTTTCCATCTTTTCCTCTTTTTGAAAAAGTTTACCAAAAATAAATACATAAATAAAACCACACACACATTATTTGCACTCTAGGTGGGCAGTGAGAAAAATCTTGAACCAAGTCATCATAGAAGTATTTTCTGTCCTTTTATTTTTGCATCAAAGAGCTATTCAACACTCTTCGCTCAGACTCAGATCATATATCTAAATTATGTCAGATTAAAAAAAAAAACTTTTCTTTCCAAAATGATCTACTAGTTGAGAAATATTTTTTCTTGCCTCAACTGCCAGCAGTTTTATCCCTCTAAGTGACCACATTTTTTCATGTTACCTTATATAGGTAGGCTTGTTCAAATTACTTCATTTTGCTTACTAATTTGAAGGGACTCAGTCAATACTAAAACAAAAAGTCATACACAGTAAATATCCCAGGTATCTTTCACGATAAGAAACTGAAGGGCTCTGGGCAACAGTATTTAGGGAAAAATGTTATCCCCTTTAGGCAGCAAATCTCAGTATCTTTTAAGGGGAACCTTCTCAAGTATATTACACAGTACTGTATTAGTTAATGATATGTGCTGAACAAAATGTTTTAAATTCTAACAAGGAATAGTTCAGTGACTGTTTAGATGTATATCAAGCAGGCAAATGAATTCATTTCTTTCAGACGTAGTCCACGTGTATTTATTGAATATTTATCTACAGGTCCTGTGCAAGGTACTAAGGAAACAAACATTAAAAAAAAATCCCACTCTCTGCCCTCAAACTGAGCAGGGACATAAGCTATTATGGTAAGTGCTATGGTGCAGGTACAATGGTGGCACACCCTGGGTTTAGCCCTCCATACTGGGAAGGGTGGAGGTAAAGAAGTCAGAAAACACTTCTCCAAATGTGACAGTTGAACTGAGTTTGGAAGCATGACCAGGTGATCGCCACACCAAGAAAGGGGCCAAACAAAAGAGGAAGAATGTGCAATGCCTTGGACACACGTGAGCCGGACACTTCCAGAGAACTCTGGGCAGAAGTTCTACGTCACCTGCGTCACCTTGCTGTCAGAGCTTCTGGCTCCATGTGAAGCGGCAGGCAAATGGAAAAAAGACAAAGAAAATACTCCCAAATGCTAAAATGATTATGTTACAGTGACGATTTCTGTTTTTAAAATCAGCTAAACTGTGATAATACTGTGTTAATATTTTTCTTAAACCAATTTATATGTCTGAACTCTACTCTCACCAAAAACATGAAGGAACAAACCCTCCCGCAGCTCAGAGAAACGCAGCAAAGTCTTTCTGACTTTCTAGAAAATGACTTCTTAAATTAAGGACTGAATGACGTTCTCCAAATTGTTGCTCCTTCTGAGAAAAGGACTCTTTATTATTTTTATTAGCATCCTTTGACTTCTTTATGGCACTGAAAACATTCCATTTCAGCCCCAGTAACTTCTTCAACATATTCGCCCGTAAAACTCAATTCATACTGTCTGACTCATCTTACACTTCACAGGGAAATGCCACGAATTCGTAAATATTTAGACGATTACTTAAAATCATCATTAAAATGTAATTGCTTTTTCACAACTACAAGCATACGTGGGATTTTTATTCAACATGTTTGTGGGCTTTGGTCTTGGTCCTAATACTTCACAGCCTCTTAGCCTCAGTCTTTGGAACGCCCCTCTTGTTCTGTCCAAACTTACTTTCAAAGTTACCTCATCTAGTCTCTTGGCTTTAAATATTATCAACATGCTGCGGATTTCCAAATCTGCAGCCTGGTCCCTCCTCGGAATTTCAGACCTATTTATTCAACTGCCTGGCTGACATCTCTACTTGGGTGTCTAATATACACCTCAAACTCAACATGTCCATCTTTTCCCTGCCTCCAAACCAGCTCACTTCAGACTTCCTCATGTCAGTTCACGGCAACTATTATGCGGTGGACCGTGTCCTCCACAAATTCCCATGCTGAAGTCCTAACCCCCAGTTCCTCAGAATGTGGCCTTATTTGGGACTAGGGTTGCTGGAGGTGGAATTAATAATTAAGATGCGGTAATACTGGAATAGGGGCCCCTGAACCAATATGACTGGTGTCCTTATAAAAAGGGGAAATAGGGGCACAGACACACACACAAGGAGAACACCATGTTCTAGATGCGGGCAGAGATCAGGGGATGCTTACATGAGCCAAGAATTGCCAGCAAACCACGGAAGCTGGGAGAGAGATATGGAACAGATTGTTTATCACAGTCCTCAGAAGGAACCAACCCAGCCAACACCTTCAGCTCGGACTTCTGGCCTCCAACACTGTGAGACGATAAATTTCTGTCGTTTAAGCCACCTGGTTTGTGGTATTGTGTTGAGACAGCCTAGCAAACTAATACAGCAATTCTTTCCTTCCAGTTGCTCAGATGAAAACACATGGACTCATCTCTGATTCCTCTTTCTCGTTGAAACGATACCCCCCACTCTGTTAAATGCCACTCGCTTCACCTGCAGATTCTGATCATGCCCCACACCTCCTCCTCTGGCACCATCTAGGTCAAGCTATCAACACCTCTTGCCTGGATTCCATAAAAGCTTCCCAGCTGGTCTTCCTGTTTCTCTTTGCTCCCTTCCTTCCCTCAGAGTCAGAAGAACCCTTATGCGTTCATTCCTTTGCTGAAAGCCATCCAGGGTTTTTTTCTTCACACTCAGAGCCAAAGTCAAAGTCATCCACGTGACCACGGGCCATGATCTGGCCCCCGAGACCTCTCTAACCGCTCTCCCTCGCCTACTCCACTTCCACATCGCTACCCTGGCTGGTGTCAAACGCGCCAAGCGTGCACCCGCCTAGGGGCCTTTGCACTTGCTGTCACCTAGATATCTACATAGTCCCCTCCCTCAGGTCTGTATTCGAACATCGCTTCCTCAATCCGGCCTTCCCTGATGATCCAACTGAAAACACTCCTCCTCCCAGCACTCCCTCCTCTCTTTTCTGCTTCACTTTTCTTATAGCCTATATAAGCATCCACCATGTTATTTTCTTCAGTCTGTTTATTGTTTGTCTCATCCATACAAGTATTCATAAACTCAACATGGGCCAATATTTTCATCTGTGTTATTCACTGCCATGTCCCCAGAACATGGAACAGCACCTGGCTCACAGTAGCACCCAATCGACACTTGTCACCATAAAACCCACCATGCCATCAATTCTCATGTCCTACTGCAGTCCTTACATAAAGGAATGTGACTTGTTCTTAGTTGTTTTGAGAGTGAAAGTATGTAGCTGAACCAAACTAAGAGAAGTTGAAGGGAAAGAGCAGCATTTAAAAAAATGCATTGTGCAATCCATATTAAAATAAATTTAATTACAAAATTAAAGAAAATGAATTCTTTTTCCTTCTGTTCACATCCCTCAGTGACGAATTAGCAAATCTGCCTCTACAGTGCCCTTCAATGGCTCCCTGCCTCTTCACTGTCACTAACACTGTACTGAGCTCCTTCTTGTCCCCACAGTGCCTCCTTCTATGTTTCAGGCACTTTCTAATCTTCTTAGTCACTAACTTCAGAGTTCTACCTTTGGCCATCTTTTCTCTTATTTCTACACCCTTCCCCTTAATGATCTCCTCTACTATCCCAGCTTCAAACAGCTCGCTCGGTGAATGACTTTCCAAATCTTTACAGCCAGCTCCGACCTGTCCCCAGTGTTCCAATGTCATGTTTTCCCTTCCTCTATGTACCCTTCTGCCTCTGCATTCTAATAGCTTCTTAAACATACTGTGTTCAAAACCGTATTTACCTTCCTTTTCCCAGATTTTGGTGTTCTGGAAGTGTACTGCCATCTGCTAGTTACCCAGGGTTAAACCCTGTACTCCTCCCTCAAGTATCCAATCTAATCAGTTACCAAGTTCTGCTTGGTCCAGCTTTTGCAAACTCTCATATCACTTCTGTGCACCCCACAGTTGGTAACTTTGGTTCAAGCCCTTGTTAATTCCTAAGAGTTTTTCCCTAACTCTAGCCTCTCCTTTCAATTCATTCTATGGCGACAAATGAATGTGATGACAGAGAGTTCTGACTGTCTTACTTTCATATTTGGAAATCTTCCATCCTCCCTCCAGAATGTCACCATAAATAAAAACTTTCCTAGGGGACACTTAAATCTTTCTCCTTACTACAACCTTCTCCTGCAGGGTCTCCTTGTAATGTCTAACCTTATGCTCAGCACCCTCCAACACCCCCGTTGTGGTGTTCTGGCCAAGCACCGTTTACATAACCCAGCATTTCCTCTCCTGGAAACTCCATCCAACCTTAAAGAGCCCTGATGTTCTCCCAGCAGGAACTACCACTCTCCCTTCTCCTAACCCGCCTTTGTGTTTTGCTAACCCCTCTCCTTGGCAGTCATCACTTTTGCCTTGCAGTAGTGACCCACGTACTCATCCTAATCCCTTGAGGGCAAAAGCTTTATTATATGCATCTATGTGCTCTCACTGCCATTAGCCCAGCATTGGTACTATTTATTGAGTGAATGAAATCACACTCCTAATCTCATTACAGTGGAGCGTAAATCTACAAAAGGCAATTTTACAGAAGGTAAATTAATGAGGTCAAGGTTATCAGTTCAATTCCCATACAGTTCATTTAGCTTTGCAAAGAGTTGGGGGGGGGGGACCAGGAACAGGGACTATTCTCAAAGCTCAGCCAGCTGTCTCACAAATATGCATTATTCACATAAGAGACAGGCCACTAAGTGTGGATGGGCTTGGAAATCTCTTGTCTCTATTGACACT